AGCCTGTTTGGAAAATGTGAGAAGTAGAAAGTACAGGTATTTGAGTTCAACATGTGAGAAGTAGAAAGTACAGGTATTTGAGTTCAACATGTGAGAAGTAGAAAGTACAGGTATTTGAGTTCAACATGTGAGAAGTAGAAAGTACAGGTATTTGAGTTCAACATGTAAGAAGTAGAAAGTACAGGTATTTGAGTTCAACATGTGAGAAGTAGAAAGTACAGGTATTTGAGTTCAACATGTAAGAAGTAGAAAGTACAGGTATTTGTGTTCAACATGTAAGAAGTAGAAAGTACAGGTATTTGAGTTCAACATGTAAGAAGTAGAAAGTACAGGTATTTGGGTTCAACATGTAAGAAGTAGAAAGTACAGGTATTTGAGTTCAACATGTAAGAAGTAGAAAGTACAGGTATTTGAGTTCAACATGTAAGAAGTAGAAAGTACAGGTATTTGGGTTCAACATGTAAGAAGTAGAAAGTACAGGTATTTGTGTTCAACATGTAAGAAGTAGAAAGTTCAGGTATTTGAGTTCAACATGTAAGAAGTAGAAAGTACAGGTATTTGAGTTCAACATGTAAGAAGTAGAAAGTTCAGGTATTTGAGTTCAACATGTAAGAAGTAGAAAGTTCAGGTATTAGGGTTCAAAATGTAAGAAGTCAAAGTAAAAAGTCGGCAGAAAAATTAAGTAAAGTACTGATACCAGAAAAATGTACTTAAGTGCAGTAACGAAGTATTTGCACTCCACTACTTCCCACCTCTGAGTATACCCAAAAAGTAGTACATCAAATGCAGTATACCATAAACACTAGGATGTCATACTGGTCATTTTGCAGAAAGCAGCTTGCTATCCTGACCCACAATCCTTTGTAAAGCAGATAGAAGGATAAGTAGATCTAGTCCTAACTATATGAATACTGCATGTAACAGTACAAAGAAATGAAGATATTATGGAAGAGTTATTAGTAAAAATGTGTGGGAACCCTGTATGATGTCAATGTATACAGTAGTATGTCAATATTGAGCTTGTGTTCATGACATCTTGTAGATAATCTGTTAATTTCTCTCTTTTTGTTAACCTGTTGCAGGCTTTCTCCCATGCTGATGTAGCGTCGTGAAGCTGGTAGTTGTGGAGCTGGAGGAGAAGGAGGTGTTGGAGGAGGAGGAGGAGGAGGAGGAGGTGAACGTTTGGGGATGGGCAGCGCTCCATATCCAGCGGGGGAGTGGAAGGGGAAGGGGAGAGGAGGCTTTCAGGAGCTGGGCTGCATGCGCTGGAAGGTCAGCAAGCAGAAAGGAGGAGGAGGAGGAGGAGGAGGAGGAGGAGGAGGAGGAGAGGCGATGTTTGACCGAACCCATGGACTGTACCAAGTCTCCTGAGTCCGCAGACTCCACACAGACCAACGGCTTGCCACGTCCCATCTCCTACGGCCAACCCCCCCTGCCTGCTCTGCTGCAACTGGACAACAACAACGGCTCCGCCCTCGTGATAGGTCAGCAGGTGCAGTGGGGGAGAGGGGGGCGGGCTAACAGTTACAGCACAGCGCCCAATCAGTCCTCGGACCCTGGCGGCCCCTCTGAGCCGGATGAGGTCATTTCCTGTCCAGGATGCTGTCTGGTGGGTCTGACTTTTCCCTCAGTGTGCCTCCGTGGAACAGCCGCGGTGCCGATCCCCCGCCGAAGGGCTTCGTTACCACGGCAGCAACCCTACCGGAACCTCAATAGTACCATAACCGGGGTCAGTGTGTCCTCGCCGACAACAGCCGCCACGGCAACCAAAGCTCTGCTGTGTCGCAGCACCAATGGACTGACAGGGGGGGGGGCACCAGTCCCATGTGAGTCCAGCCGCTCCCTGCCCGAGGCACAGACATAACTCTGAGTGCATTGGCAGTACATGTTAGCGACACACACTAGATGCTGCTACGCTCACACTGAGCCTCTGACCTGTTGTTAGTGCTGTCCTAACAACAGGGCCTGCTGAGGGGGGGGGGGGCACATCACTCTGCTCCTCCACACACGGGGACCCACCAGATCAAAGTGTGTGGCTCATTTGACCTGCACTATGGTTTATTGAAACTTGCTCTTATTTTTGGTAGTTGTGGTTGTCATCTGTATTCAGAGGGATCACAGAGATCTGTGAACATGTGACAGTAAGAAAGAATAGTCCTACTTATTTGAAGGACAGTTAAATGACTAATGGACGCTGGCTTCGTTTCATTGTACTATAGTGATGTCACCCTGTTCACACTTCTCCAAAATTACTTTAAGAAGTATAGATATATGGCCAAAACTACAACATCATGTTAACCCTAACCCCTTTTGGTAAATCATTGTCCGTCCATTTATGGAGGAAGTTTAAGAGAAATAGAAAATAATGTTGTTCTGCATGGCAGCCTCTGTGCTGATAACACTGCAGTGTGGAGCCCAGCTCAGTGTGGCTGCACACACACCGTGCTGCTCTGCTCTTCATTCTGACTCTATAGCAGCTATAGGGGACTTTTCTAGGATTTACTTCCTACATTTTTATAGAAGGTGTGTGTGTGTTTACCTGTTTTTGGGGACTTAAGTGATAATAATAATTAATAATAATGTCAAGTAAATTGTGTATTTTTGCACTTGAGTTTGGTACACTTTGCAGTGAGACACCAGACTTTCACTAAATGGTGCTTTCCTATGGGCTACTGATGTTTTATAAATGTGTGTGTGTACTTCTGAACCAACACACCTTTCATACTTTGACTGGAACACTACTCCCCCATTTCCCCCCATCTGTGTGTACATGTTTTTTTGATTACATGTGAAGCAGGTATGCATAATTATTGTACAGATAATTCTGTACTTTCACACTGTGTGTGTGTGTCAAAATATGTTGAATAATTTAAGAAATTATAAACCTAAGTTCCTAACTGATGAAAGTATGTTAATGCAAGTCTAATAACACTCTTTTATTGTTCATCACTGTATTACCAGTTGTCTTTTTTAGATTAAATAAGTGGACCTGCTCACTCATTACGTATATATTAACCTTTACTGAAATTCAGTTTCCACACTTTTTTTTATACACAGATGGTACAAATACACAAATATATGGCCAACAAAACCATGAAGTTTGCTTTTAAAATGACAAAATATTTCCTTAAAAGTGAAATCTGCATTAGTCTCTGCGTTTTAATGGCAATCCCAGTATTAGGAGTATAGTGGGCAAAGCTCTCAAAGCTCCAGTCCATACCACTTTGTCCAATTGGGGAATTGAACCAGCGACCATCCTGTTCCAAAGTAAAGTCCTTACAGACTGTCGCCTGTACATGTCATCGAACATATGGATATATAATCCATATGAAAACAATTGCCAGCATACCCCTCTGGATATTTTTTACCATATCAACAAATAATATTTTACACAGCTCTGTATTGTAAGATAAAAAAAAGTAGTTTTAACTGAAAGGAGATAATACAGAGGTTTCTGTTTGGTTTGTACAGTGGAATGGAGTAGAGGCTTTTATTCCTAAACAATATCAATCCACATTAAAAAGTATCAATCTTCCTATCATAATTCTTTATTGGCCGGAAATGCAATATTAAATCACATAAGACCACATGTAAATGCAGGAGCTCTAAGTTTGGGCAGCTTTCAAACAAAGTGCAAGAGTCAAGTGATATACAGTCTATGGTGCAGTGCCTTGCTTAAGAGCAACCTGAGGAGGTACTTCTCAATGTTTTAGTCCACACCACTTGGTCCAATCGGGGACTTGAACCAGCGACCTTGCTGTTACCAAGCCAAGTGCCGACAGCCTGCTCTGAGCAGTCTATGGCAGTCACATAGGGTGTCGGCTCTGTTTTGACGCCACCCTTTCACCTCTGTCTGCTTTAGAATGTAATTGAATAATAAATAGCCCGTGTAGTTAGCTTTGATGTAGCGTTTGTGTAGCTAGTATTACTACAGACTTTAGCTGCTAGCTGCTGGCCACACGACGCAAACGCCAGGCGCGTGTCCGCTGAGGAGGACACGCTCTCGCGCATGAAGCATCACGGGCCACGGCAGAGCCATTTTAGCTGCTGATCGCTCGCGGGACACCTGGGACGGGCGGGACAGAGACTCACAGGGAATACCAGTAAAACGCATGGCTGTGTCACACTGTGAGTTAAGAAGCGACATGTCCTCGCTGCTTTCCCTGGTGTAGAGAGGCTCCACCGGCGGCACTAACGGTACGTACCGCCACTCTCACAGGCCTGTGGTCAGGATGCTGAGGGGATGGGAGGGTCTCTGTGTTTGGAGCAGGGAGGTGCCTTCTGCCTTTTACTGCAGTAACAACAAATCCTCTGCGCTTTACTGTCCACCCTGTTTGGACTTTAGAATGAAAAAATGCTCATTTTCATTACAGTGTTCCAAAAGCCACAGTTTTCATGTGAGGATGTTTGGCTCTGTTTGGCTGTCTACACTGGAGGAGAATACATGCACATGGGTCATTCCACAGTTGGAAGACAATTTAACATAAGAACTTGAACCCTTTACTCATATTTGTATTATGTATTTGAGAAAAAAAATGAACTATTTAATCTAACCATAAATATAAAACACAGTTGTGTTCATTTTGAGTTATTGTTAAGAAAAAGGGTTAATGGTTGCAACCATAACATGCTTAGGCTCCCAGGTGCCAATACAGAAAGGCAATTCCTGTTCTGGGATTACAGTAAATTATATATAAACATTTAATTATACTAAAGATAATAAATGAAACTGCAGAAAATGCAACTCTGCAAATCAATGCTAACGTTAGTGTTTACCTCTTAATGCTAGCTGCAGAATACAATGATATATTCAATCATTTGAAACCACTTTTCCTACAAATGTATTTGATCAAAGGCCAATTATATTTATTGAACACAACAAATGCATGTTTTAGCTTTTTGGACATGGGTTATTGGAACATGCTGGAAGGACCCACATGCCATTACTTTTGCATGAAAGATATGAAAAATAAATCTGGATAAAGAATGTAGGCTTTGATTACATTTCATCGCATATGCTGACTGAAGGTCCTCAACATCTAAGATAATCTATTCATAATAGTTACTTGAAATATTTCAACTTTTTATGAAATCAATAGGAATAATAACTGTATTGGTGTCACTCTGCTGTCATTTCCACACTTCCTGAAAGCATGACCCTGTCTCTGTGTGTCTGTCGGTGGGGAGGACAGTGATGACAACACTTCCCATTTCCTAACCAGATTACCATGGCATCAGGAAGAAAAGGTAAGTTTGACCCGTGCCTTCATACCTAGCTGACAGTCATGACAAATAAACATTTACATGAGACATAATTATTCCTGTTTCTATTTGCCATCCCTTGAGAATTTGTGTTGAGTTTATTTCACTTCCTGCTCTACAGGAATGTATAAATCCTTCACGATTTAGCTCTTTTGAACACCTTGTTGTATTTCTCTATTCATTATAATCATATCCACCTCTCCGTCACCAGGATCCACCTCGAAGGCCGGTGGGGTGCGTTTCCCTGACGACGACGACGAGCCCCCCGGCTCTCCGTCACGGAGAGACGACGAGCTCAACCTCAGTACCCTCATCGCTGTGCTGGAGAAGGATGGAGGCTACCTGGTCAAGGTGTGTGTGTGTGTGTGTTTATTTTTTAATCTTTTCACATGAAGCAGCTTTACAATTTGATAAGGGCAGTGGTGTAAAGTAACTAAGTACATTTACTCAAGTACTGTACTTAAGTACAATTTTAAGGGGCTTGTACTTTACTTGAGTATTTAAATGTTCTGCTAGTTTGTACTTCTACACCACTACAATTCAGAGGTAAATGTTACTCCACTGTATTTATTTAATATCGTTAGTTACTTTACAGATCTGGATGAATGATGTGAAATCTAATCAAGTGTTGAATCAGACTTTAGTTCCACCTGGAGTAAATCCACAATCTACCCTGCAGTATACAAAGTCATTCAAACTAGCTGCACCTTTACCAGCTTTGAGAACACAATGATCAATCATTATACAGGACTGTCTCAGAAAATTAGAATATTGTGATAAAGTTCTTTATTTTCTGTAATGCAATTAAAAAAACAAAAATGTCATACATTCTGGATTCATTACAAATCAACTGAAATATTGCAAGCCTTTTATTATTTTAATATTGCTGATTATGGCATACAGCTTAAGAAAACTCAAATATCCTATCTCTAAATATTAGAATATCATGAAAAAGTATACTAGTAGGGTGTTCAACGAATCACTTGAATCGTCTAATTAACTCGAAACACCTGCAAGGGTTTCCTGAGCCTTGAAAAACACTCAGCTTGGTTCAGTAAACTAAATCACAAGTATGGGGAAGACTGCTGATCTGACTGCTGTCCAGAGGACCAAGAAAGTACAGGTATTTGAGTTCAACATGTAAGAAGTAGAACG